TCTCCCGGTTTGACCGTTCAAATCTTGACGTCGATGGGGCCTTCGGTGCCTCCAACGAAGACTTGGTTCGGAGGCCACTGCGGTCACAGATGAACTGAAATTTTCGGATTGAAGGCGAGGTCAGGACGTTGACAGAAGATTAAAGACGACTAAATTTTGCCGTCTGTCATTGTTCCTCTGTGTTACCGTAAAGATTCTCCGCGTGTCCGGCGCCCCTCCGGAAGCCGCAATTTGAAGCAGACACCATCTCTCGCTCTCTCTCTCTCTCTCTCTCTCTCTCTCTCTCTCTCTCTCTCTCTCTCTCTCTCTCTCTCTCTCTCTCTCTCTCTCTCTCTCTCTCTCTCTCTCTCTCTCTCTCTCTCTCTCTCTCTCTCTCTCTCTCTCTCTCTCTCTCTCTCTCTCTCTCTCTCTCTCTCTCTCTCTCTCTCTCTCTCTCTCTCTCTCTCGCTCTCTCTCTCTCTCTCTCTCTCTCTCTCTCTCTCGCTATCTTAGTCCATGAATGCATGGAGAAAATCAAAATTCGACGCAATCATGGACCTACCGATACATCATTCCTGTATCTCTCTCTTCTCCCCCCTGAAGGATGTGCGTTAGTCTGTCTACCCTACATATATGCATCCATCATCCTATCTTTGTTCAAGCTCAATAAGTCAACTATTTACAGAACTTCGGCATCTAGAGATATTACTGATGATACTTCTTCAAGCCGCATAGAATCCTAACACTGATGAAATCAGATGGATGGTCTATCGGCTCGACAGCCCATCCTAACAGTATTTAGTAATCCTTTTATACTGACTGGGCAACAAAGCCCAACCTTTGTAAAAGTAAATCGGCAGCTGTTCTGTTAGAGGTACGGCGATGTTATCTTCGTCTTCAGGGAAAACAATGATCTTGGAACTCTACCAGAGAGCCGAAAGGGGATATCGATGGCAGCTTTATCTTTCGCTAGAGTGACAGTGAGATCTAAAATGAAAATAAATAAAAGAGAAAAAGAGAAAGTAATGAATAAATACATATCATTTAGAGAGGTCGCCTCTCACGTAGAACATCCATCGGAGCTGGTAAGTTGATCATTTATATTCATGAAATGGAGCTCTGGAATGGAGCAGAATGTCAAAGCCGATGAAGATTTGATTAACTGAACTCACACTACATGTACATCGCAATTCTTGGTGTTGTCTTCTGATATATGCAAGCATGCTCACATAGATAGATGATACCATGATGCCTCATGACTGGGTCCTTGATTATAGGAAACTTGTGTTCTGAAATTCATTATCATCCAAGTTAGGCTTTTTTATTTATCTCATGTGTTTGTCGCCATAAAAACCTTTAAGATAATTAGACTCTTAAAGCCAACAAAATATATATTTTAAAGGAAAATTTCCTTAAGATATAATGTCACTCCCATGGACGAGTATAACTGAACTTTAAAAAGGAAAACCTATCCAATGAGTTTAATGAAATGCAGACCATGAATGGACCGATGTCCAACTAGATAACCAACATTCAGATAATCTTTGTGACCTCACCATGTAGAAAAATAAGATCCAAGCTCTCTTGGGAAACACCAACAAGAGGACCAAGAAGCGAAGATCTCCCGTGTTCTTGTCCATAGCCTCAGAGGATGCATATGACAGAATAATGGCGGGTTACTCCAGTCCTGAAAGTAGCCATTACTGTGGCAACAACTCTAGCTAATGCTGGTAACTCACCCTCATGACCTTTTACTATGTGGGAGAGAAAGAGGGGCTGGTCAGGGGAATTAAGTTTAGACCATACAATGGTGACGATGCTATCACTGTCATGTGACATTCCTTGGGGACCCCATGTGTGTTGATGGACCCTCTAAGATTTTCTTTCATTCAACCCTGACAAGATTAACATCTTCTAATAGTTGATGTTGAAATTAATCTCAATATAGATAATTGTATATGAATTATATATTGTGGGGTTAACATTGAGTTAATCCCACTAAAGTGATCTATTGAAGTTTAAGAATTTAAGATTACAATCTCTCTCGTAAGTATAAGCATAAATATAAATATGTGTAGAGACCAGGTCTTATTCTAATTTTATGATAGATAAAATTGAAAAAAGATATTAAGAAGTAAACAACCTCTTGTCTATACATTGGTCTTGGGGTCATACATTGAGGGTCAAGCATTTCATCTCTCTTGAGTAAGTCATTGAATGAGTCCTCTGCGCTGATCTAAAAAGTTCTCCTCATACTTGTGCCTCCATAGATTCAAGTATAACTTCAACCTATTCTCATTTTATTTTTATCATTCTCCATTTATCTCAACATTAGATCTTTAAATTCTTACAATTGAAATCGAGAGGTTCTCTAGTGAACGGAGTATTTTTTAGCCATGTGCTTTGGAAAATGAGTTTACTCAAAGATTTTATTCAAACTATTCACATGACAAGCGAGGAAGGGTTTGATATTTCTTCAAAGGCTGGTATCAGGGTACGATTACTAATGAGAAGAAGGTAGGACATCGAGGTGACCAATCAACCCACCTTGTCGTTCCGTCTACCCCTCTCTCTCTCTCTCTCTCTCTCTCTCTCTCTCATCTTCTATCTAAACCTTCTACATGGAACGCCATTCTCTCTCCTCTTTGAGTTCAAGAAGCATCTCTGGTGAACTCCTCTTCCTCTCCTTCTCCCACTCTTTCCTCATCATTTTTGTGGACCATTTTACTGTCGATTTCAGATATTATTCATACAACTTCCTATAAGCCCTCAATCAATGCAGCTCCTCAACTCCCCATCTTTATTTAGATGTAGGTGCGTTTTTCGTGGCATGGAGATCCTTGCCTTGGACGGGCCTCTACTGTGGACTTCTCGAAGCCTTGACTACTGGGCCTATCCACGCTCAAGGCTTTCCCAAGCCGCTGACCTATGTAGGTTAGCCAAGAAAAACTGATTTTTTTTTGTGTGTGGTGATGACCGGAGAGAAGGGATATGTGACTGGCGCGTGGATGGGCAACCAGAAGGATCGTTAGAGGAATCCGAGGGGATCTGATAGGTCCCCGAATATGAGCTTTTTCGGAAGACGAGGAGGGGAATTAAGAAAACGAAGGGGCTGTAATTGATTCTAACTCTACTAACAGAGAAAACACTTGATCGAGAGGAAAAGGGCGGGAAACAGGGGGGGAGGATAACTGGAATAACTCTGGAGGAGACGGAAGAGACTGGGGGAGGGATTCGAGGTGGCTACTCTCCTTTCTCCACACGGAGATACATAGAAATTCATCCTTTCCTCTGATGGACAGGGAGTCTTCTTATAGCCATGAGTGGCCTCCTTCAGCTATCCTTCGCCCTCACCTTTCTGGCTAAGCTGCTGGGCACCGGGTTAATGGCCGACCATCTCTACGCCCCGCGCCCCGTTCTAGTATTGGTGGGCCGTCCTTGGCTGCTCTAGGCCACCTCTAACATTTTTTGAGCTGCTGTTAGTAGCTGGGGCCCGAGGTTTTCAATTGATGGTTAGAGTTGTTGCCTATTAGGTGAGACCTCTTCTCACATAGGCGAGGGCTTGTAAAAATAAATATGTAAACACATTATCATAATAACAACGGAAACTCAATTTTTAAATATCAATGAGAATAAATAAAAGAGAAATCATCAAACTACTAGAATCTTAATGAGAACAAAACTTTCACCAAACACTTCTAATCCACGTCTCAATACTTTCGAGATGACCTACATACTGGAGAGTCAACAATAAACTCTTATCTTCTTTTATAAAGACTTCACTTACAATAAAAAAGAGAGAATAGATTAAGAAAGAGAAAGAGAGTTGATCAAGAGAGAGAATAAAATTAAGAGAGAGAGAAAGAGAGAAAAATCTTGTCATATCTTATTTATAGAAAATAGAAAAAGATAACTACTCCTTAAAAAGAGTCATCTCGATGGTTTTAACCTCCCACATTTGACGCTCACTTTCTCCCTACATGACCCCCCAATGAGGCAAAAGGGATGAGGTGACAACCGTCTCTCTCTTCCTACACAACTCAGACCAGGTCAGATGGGATGAGATGACAACCATGTCATCACCCCTCACTCTTTGCACGTCTCCTGAATGGTTGAGATGGGAGGAGGCTCATCTCACATCTCACGAATGAGTCAGCCATGATGGGCTTACACCGCCAACACAACCTTTGTAGGTATTAATATCAGAACCTTGAATGTGGATTGCCCGATTAGGTGTCAGCTGCCGGGTCTTCAATCACCGGCATCGATCCACATAGCTCCCTATCAGCACCGTTCTCATTTTCCCTTTCTTCTTCTAACTCTCCTGCTTCTTCTGATGTAAAGATTCCCAAATTTTGAGATTTTCTGCTTCTACTTTATGAGTGATTTATAGATACATCGCGGGTCCAGAGAAGAATGTTCACCCACGTAGCTCAAGATCTCGGATCCACCACCAGGAACCCATCGGGCAACCGGATCCGCGGCGAGCGACAGGAACCGGACAGCACATCATGGGAGACTGCGGACCGTTAGAATCCTCTAGCGGATTGCAGGGTTGGTCGGGTCGTCGAGAGACTGCGTGGCGACGCCGCCTACCGACCTTAGTAAGGACGATGGGCTCTCCAGGTATATGAAGGAAAGCTTGGCTATTGGAAAGGCATTGAAGAATTCTGAGGAAACTTCCGGCATCGGAGACCCGTCAACTCGAATAGGCGACTCCGGAGGAATACTCTTGCAAGAATTTTCTTCCCTCACCTTGCAAGACCCCTGAGTTCGCAAGGAAAGGTGGGTGTACTCGATAAAATTGCTCTGCTTCCACTTCCGACGCGCGGCGATCCGCACTCTCACCTCTCCGAGTTTGGGCCTCCATCAGAATCCCCCAGTGGTTGACGAGACATCAATTGACCAATTTTCTAATAAATATGGATTCCAATCACCAGGATGTTATTAATTTGACCTCAGGCTTAGGCTTTGACGATGGGGCGGAGACCATCCTGAACCAGGGGGAAACATCCTCTTTTATGAACAATCGACGTCGAACAGATAAATGCGCCGCGCAACCTCCCTCCTTCCCACGTGTGGCCTCCCGAAGACTGGCCAAGAAAGCACCAGATTGCAGCCCTGCGGCCACAACAGCTCCGGCCTCCGGCCTCTAAATACGCGCTCGACCGGTCCGACAATATCCACCGCCGACCTCAGTATAGCGACTTCCCGGACGCCGCTGCAGTGGCTGAGCCTTGTGGGGGTCATCTGGCTACAACTAGCCAATAGAGCGAGCTCCAACTTCCCCGACTACTCCTCCAACCTCAAGCAGGTTCTCTACATCTCCCAGGTGCAGCTCAACGCTCTCGCCTTCGCTTCGGACTCCGGGAAGCTGCTCGCCTGGGTCTCAGGCGTGGCGGTGGCCTACCTCCCTCTGTGGGCGGTGCTCCTCGTCGGAGCGGCTCTTGGCTGGTGGGGTACGGGGTGCAGTTCCTCCTCGTCGGCGATGCCTTCGCCTCCGCGTCGTACTGGCAGGTGTTCCTGCTAAGCGCCACGGCGGGTAACGCTGCCTGCTGGATCAACACAGCCTGCTACGAAGTGTGCCTGAGGAACTTCAGGTCCAAGGCCAGAATCGCCATAGGGCTCTCCACGAGCTACTTCGGACTGAGCGCAGTGGCGTACACGGTCCTGGCCGACGCCTTTATCCAGCCGCTCCCCCACCAGAATGCGAAGGCGTACCTCCTCCTCAATGCGGTGGCACCAGTGGCGACCACCTTGTTGGCCCTGCCCATAGCGAGGTCGTCTTGTCGGAAGACAAGCCGCCGTCTGACGGAGAGTTCGTCTTCGTCATAGCCATGGCGAGCGGGGCGTGCGGTGTTTTCGGCAGCTTGTGGTCTATGTCGACGTGGGTCATGTGGAGCTTCGGGTGCCTTTGTCGGGGGAGCCTTGCATGTCTTCCACGTCGTTTCGCATAACGGCATAAGCCTTACACGTCTCGAGGCACACCGCCTAGAGCTGTAACAGGTTGCTTATTGCTTACGGTTATTCCTTTTCTCCTTTAGTTGCTCCCTTATTTAAAGAGGGCTGTAAGAGGTTTTCAATGAGCAAGATAGTCTTCCTTGTTCCTCCTGCTGGGTTTTTCCTGTGACTCAGAAGGTGATCTCGCCGGCGACGTCTTAACTGCCGTCGTCTCTCCGGCGAGTTTCTAACAAGTGGTATCAGAGCTCCCAGGTTGCGGGCCGGGACTCGATCGCGGCAAGGTACAGCCGTTGGAATCGAGAACGCGCAATCGAGACGCGCTATGGCAGGAGGAAAGGACGGAGTGGTCCAGAGGGTGATTCGTGAGGTGAGCGCCGGGACCGGGTTCCCAATGCTCACCAAGACCAACTACTCCGACTGGGCACTGCTCATGAAGGTCAAGCTCAGAGCCCGGTTGCTCTGGACCGCCATTGAGAAAGGGGGCGTCGAACCCCACGAAGACATGCAGGCGCTTGACGCGCTCTGCAGCGCCGTGCCGCCGGAAATGTGGCCGGTGATCGCAAACAAGGAGACGGCCAAGGAGGCCTGGGAGGCTATCGCCACCATGCGGATCGGCGATGATCGCGTAAAGAAAGCGTCGGCTCAGAACTTGCGGCGGCAGTTCGACTCGGCGACGTTCAAGGAGGGAGAGTCTGTTGAGGACTACGCGCTGCGTCTCAACAGCATGGCGTCGACTCTCAACACCCTCGGCGACAAGGTCGAAGAGACGCAGGTAGTGGAGAAGATAATCCGCAGTGTTCCCCAGCGTTTCAGGCAGATCGTGGTCGTGATCACGATGCTGCTCGACGTGTCGACGCTCACTGTCGCGGATTTGACGGGTTGGCTCAAGGCGGCGGAGGATGCCTTCGAGGAACTGCCGTCGGCTATGCACCACGACGGCAAGCTGCACCTGACTGAGGAAGAGTGGGATGCACGGCGGAGGAAGCGTGATAATGAGAAAACTGGTGGTGGAGGTAGCAGCAGCGTGACGCACCGTGTCAGACATGGGCGCGGGCACGGGCTCGGCCGTGGCAGCGACAAGGGCTCGTCATCAGGCGGCCTGACGGGCAACTCAGGCCGGCCCAGAGGTGATGAGTGCAGGAGATGCGGGAAGTTGGGCCACTGGGCCCGCGAGTGCCGCTCCAAGCCCAAGAAAGAGCAGGCCCACGTCGTCCAGAATGAGGAGGAGGCCTCGCTCCTTCTCGTGAAGTCAACGACGGCCAGATCGACGGTGCCGCCACCAACCTCCACTCCACCACGTTTTGCTGCGACTCCGCAGGCAGAGGATCGGCTCCGGCGTGCAAGCCCACCGCCGCCAGGAGCAAAAGGGGTCCCCGTCAATGGAGGGGCGGCCAAAGAAGAGCGGAAGCCAGGCGCCCAGACCCAGATCCACCTGTGGGAAGAGAAGATGTTCGCCCACCTTGAAGAGGAGGAGCTGCGTGATGAGGAGGCATGGGTCGTGGACACGGGCGCCACGAACCACATGTCGGGTTCCCGTACAGCTTTCACCAAGCTGGACACAAAGGTACTTGGGACGGTGCAGTTCGGCGACGACTCGGTGGCGCGGATCGAAGGCCGGGCGGCCATCGTGTTCCTGTGCAAGAACGGCGAGCACCGGTCCTTCGCGGGGGTGTATTACATTCCCCGACTGACGACGAACATCGTCAGCATCGGCCAACTCAATGAGGCCGGGTACCATATCGACATCGAGAAGGGGGCGATGAAGATCCATGAGCCAGGCAGACGGCTCCTAGCAAAGGTCATGCGCGGAGAGAACAGGCTGTACATTCTCCACGCCAAGCTGGTTCGGCAGGTGTGTCCGGAGGCGTGGGCAGTCGAAGAAGGTTGGAAATGGCACGCGCGCCTCGGCCATGTCAACATGACCGCGCTGCGGAAGATGGCTCGGGAGGAGCTGGTGCGCGGGTTGCCGGCGGTTGGTCCGGTGGACCAGCTGTGTGAGGCGTGTCTCGCTGGCAAGCAAAAGCGGTCGCCGTTCCCCCAGCAGGGAGAGTACCGGGCGCGGCGTGTTCTGGAGCTGGTGCACAGCGACCTCTGTGGTCCAATTGCGCCGGAAACGCCAAACGGCAGCAAGTATTTCCTGCTGCTCGTGGATGATCGAAGCCGGTACATGTGGGTGGCCATGCTGCCTTCAAAGGACCGTGCTGCGGTGGCCATCAAGGAGATCAAGGCTCGCGCAGAAGGCGAGTCAGGACTGAAGCTGGGAGTGCTCCGTACTGATCGGGGCGGCGAATTCACCTCACATGAGTTCGCGGAGTACTGCGTGGGAGAAGGTATTCATCGTGAACACACGGGGCCATACAGCCCGCAGCAGAATGGCATCGTCGAGCGCAGGAACGGCACGGTGGTAGCAACCGCGAGGAGCATGCTCAAGGCAAAGGGGTTGCCGGGCTGGTTTTGGGGTGAGGCAGTGGCAACTGCTGTATACATCCTGAACCGGTGTCCCACAAAGAGCGTGGACGGCGTGACGCCTTTCGAGGTATGGCACGGGAAGAAGCCGGCGGTGCACCATCTGAACGTGTTCGGATGCATCGCCTACGTCCTGAACACGACACCGCATCTCAAGAAGTTGGAGGACCGCGGCCGCAAGATGATCTTCATCGGCTACGAGTACGGATCAAAGGCCTACCGAGCCTACGATCCCACCGCGAGGCGTGTCCATGTGACACGGGACGTGGTGTTCGACGAGAATGCCCAGTGGGACTGGGGCAGCGGCGCAGAGCAAGGGGATGCGGGCAGCCACGACGATATGTTCACATTGGAGTATGCCGTCGGGAATCAGGTACCTCCAGAGCTCGATGGCGCCATCAAGGTACTTGATGATGATGCGCCAGGACCGGAGCCGATGTCGCCACCGTCTGTGCACTACAGTGGGGGAGCAGCGCCGATTGAAGATGGAGGAGAGGAGGTGGAGTTCGCCTCTCCACCGAGTGTCCACATTGACCACCTGGACGCTAATCATGATGATGCGCCACTCCGATTCCGCAAGATCGACAACATCGTTGGGCTGGCCTCGCCACGTGGTCTCGCGTCGCGGGCGTTAATTGCAAAGGAGCTGCACGTTGTAAGTTCTGATGAGCCGATCTCTTTTGTTGAAGTAGAGGGCCACCCGAGCTGGAGGAAGGCTATGGAGGAGGAGATGGCGTCGATCGAGGAAAACCACACCTGGTCCCTGGTAGACCTCCCACATGGTCGCCGGACGATCGGGTTGAAGTGGGTGTACAAGGTGAAGCGGGATGAAAATGGAGCCGTGGCGAAGTACAAGGCGCGCCTGGTGGTGAAGGGCTATGCGCAACGCCAAGGGATCGACTACGACGAGGTGTTCGCACCTGTGGCGCGGCTGGACACGGTGCGCCTTCTCATTGCTCTCGCGGCGCACGAGGGGTGGGAGGTGCACCACATGGATGTCAAGTCGGCGTTCTTGAATGGCGATCTCAAGGAAGAGGTGTACGTGGAGCAGCCGGCCGGTTTCATCAGCACAGGCAACGAGCACAAGGTATTTAAGCTGAAGAAGGCACTCTACGACTTACATCAGGCGCCTAGAGCCTGGAACGCGAAGTTGGACGAAACGTTGCTGTCGTTCAGATTCAGGAGGAGTCCCTCGGAACATGCCATCTACACCAGGTGGAATGGGGAGGCGCAGCTAGTGGTCAGGGTGTACGTCGATGACCTGGTGATCATCGGCGCCAGCTGCGACGACATCAAGCATTTCAAAAAAGAGATGACTGACGCATTCAAGATGAGCGACCTCGGCCTGCTTTGCTACTATCTTGGCATTGAAGTCAGGCAGAGTGCGAGGGGCACCTTGATTAGCCAAGGAGCCTATGCCGCCAAGATTCTAGAGAGGAGCGGGATGGCAGGGTGCAATCCTTGTCAAGTACCAATGGCAACACGTCTGAAACTGAGCAAGATGAGCACAGAGCCGCTGGTGGATGCGACAGCATACAGAAGCATCGTGGGGAGTCTCAGGTACTTAGTCAATACTCGTCCAGATTTGGCATTTGCGGTTGGCTATGTGAGTCGTTTTCTAGAGGAGCCACGAAAGGATCACTTGGCTGCTGTGAAGCAAATTCTCCACTATGTGGCGGGAACCAAGAGTTGGGGTCTCAAGTATGAAAGGAAAAAGGAGAAGCAAGTCCAGCTGACAGGGTTCAGCGATAGTGACTTCGCTGGTGATGTTGATGCTCGGAAGAGCACGACTGGAATTATTTTCTTCTTGGCCAACAGCCCAATTACTTGGCAGTCAATGAAACAGAAGGTGGTGGCTCAATCTAGCTGCGAGGCAGAGTACATTGCGGCCGCCAATGCTGCCTACCAGGGTGTGTGGCTCGCTCGGGTGTCAGCAGAGGTGCATGGCTCAGCACCAAGCGTGCCGATGCTGAAGGTGGACAACAAGTTTGCCATAGCGTTGATCAAGAACTCAGTTCTCCATGGACATAGCAAACACATTGAAGTGAAGTATCATCTTGTCCGAGAATCTGCAGAAAAGGGTCAGATCAACATGGAGTTCATCAGGAGTGAAGAACAGTTAGGAGACGTTTTGACGAAGCCACTCGGAAAAGTCAAGTTCCATGAGTTTCGCGCCAAGATTGGGCTCATTGATGTTCGTGGTAAGTATAGCAAGGCTCAGGAGGAGATTGTCGGGGGAGCCTTGCATGTCTTCCACGTCGTTTTGCATAACGGCATAAGCCTTACACGTCTCGAGGCACACCGCCTAGAGCTGTAACAGGTTGCTTATTGCTTACGGTTATTCCTTTTCTCCTTTAGTTGCTCCCTTATTTAAAGAGGGCTGTAAGAGGTTTTCAATGAGCAAGATAGTCTTCCTTGTTCCTCCTGCTGGGTTTTTTCTGTGACTCAGAAGGTGATCTCGCCGGCGACGTCTTAACTGCCGTCGTCTCTCCGGCGAGTTTCTAACAGCCTTCTGGCGGCTCTGCTAGCCTTGCCGGCGGCGGCCAAAGTGCAGGAGTTGGTGGAGTGGAGACGGCTCCGGAGTGGGGGGGCCGGAGTTCACGACGAGTTCGTGGAAGCGACTGCGTCGGCGGAGGCCGTTAATGTGGAAGAGGGGTTGGCAGCGCCAGGAGCATGGGAGGAGGCCGGCGAGGAGAGGGAGGTCGCGGCGAGCGCCATGCTGAGAACGCCGGAGTTCTTGCTGTAGTTATTCGGTTACTTGTTTGGATCCACGGTGAGGCTGGTCTACCTTAACAACCTGGGCCAGACTGTGGAGTCCCGCGGGAACTCCAAAACTTCTGCTGTGGTCTCCCTGGCCTTTGCCTTCGGGTTCTTTGGCCGCTGCATGGTCTCCCTCATGGACTTCGTCTGCATAAGGTAAAGCCTTCACCGTCCTGCTCTTCAAGCCGCCGCGTCTCCCATCCCTCCTTTTACCGTATCTTCTTCCGACACCATATCCAGGTACATGTACGAGGTGCCGAGGCCAGCTCTCATCGCCGCTCTGACGGCGCCCATGGCCGGAGCCTTCTTCTTGCTACTCAAAACCGGGAACGCGTGCCTCTACGCCGGGAACGTTGTGATAGGGACCTGCACGGGAGCCATCACCTCCGCCGCCGCCTCCGCAACCTCAGAGCTCTTCGGGACCAAGTTCTTCGCCGTCAACCACGACACCGTCGTCTCTAACATCCCCATAGGGTCGTTCCTTTTCGGCTTCTTCGCGGCCTTCGTGTACCAGAGAGGCGAGAACGGACGGGGGGTTTGCATGGGAGCCCAGTGCTACGAGAGGACGTTCCTCGTCTGGGGCTGCCTCTGCGCTGTTTCCACACTACTCTTCGCCGTCCTCCACATCCGAACGCGGAAGAATCGATCTGTGGTTAGTGCGTGATCCATGGGCAATGTGGAAACCCCCTGCCTCCGCCCGTTTCGTAGATTGATCAGATACATACGTGTATTACATATATTACACATGATGGAGAGATATGTACACGCGTCCACACACGTGTGGAGGGAGGGAGAGAGAGAGCATAAGAATGGAACGTAGAGCGCATACTGGAACATACTCCTTTCCTACGATCTCTCTTTCTTGCTTTCCGAGTATGCGCATGTGCCTTCATTGCTGAGATTTTTTTGGTTATTTAATGGGAGGTTAGTGAGAGGTTAGCCTGCTTGCCAAGTCGCAACGGTGATTGGTCATCCCATTTAATTTATGGCCAGGTTTTTAAGATGCGAAGACTTTGGGCTGCAATGAAGGGAAGTGCACCCAATAGGAAAACAGGGTAGAGGAGTAGTACCGGAGATTTATTATCTATATACGGTTTTACGAGAATGATGGCAATAACGCTATTATAAGGAAAATGGATATTGAATAAGAAACAACGTGCTTTCAGGAAAAAAACTGGGACTAGGAAATGGAATCCTAGAATGGCACCTTTCATCTCCGCAAAATATATCAGCAGCCTATTTATTAGTCATGTTTTTAAGGAACCCATCCGCCCGAAATGAGTTTTTTTTCTCATTTGTGGAAAATATTTAATATGAACCTTATCTTGAGGACCGCTAGATTGATTGCACGTGCCCTCGATTGCATAAAAATAGGTTATGAGCCTTGATGTCATGATAGAGCTTGTTTTCGTGAGATTATTCAGCTGATAAATAAGACAAAATTATAACACAGAAAAATAATCTATATACTCAGCTTGAACTCGATGATCGCAATGCTATGTAATTTAATTTCAATAATTTTTTAATCCGACCGTGAATATTCCCTTTTGACAGCCTATTCGAAGGTCGATGTCGATGGGGCTTTCGGTGCCTCCAGCGAAGACTTGGTTCGGAGGCCCCTGTGGTCTCAGACATGAGCTGAAAAGTTTCGATTGAAGACAGTAAAAAAGTTGACTGAAGATTAAGACGACTAAATTTTACGGTCTGTCATTGTTCCTCTGTGTTACCGTAAAGATGCGCCGCGCGTTCGGCGCCCCTAACAGAAGGAACAACTTGGAGCAGACACCACCGCACTTCATGGGATAGAGACGGCGCCATCAGTTCCCTCGTCTCTCCGTCTGTCTGTCTGTCTCTCTCTCTCTCTCTCTCGGTCCATGAATGCATGGAGAACATCGAAACTCGACGAAATCGTAGACCTACCCCTACACCTCTCTCTATATCCCTCTCTCCTCCCTCCCGCAGGATGTGTGTCAGTCTGTCTACCCTACATATATGCATCCATCATCCTATCTTTGTTCAAGCTCAATAAGTCAACTAGTTACAAAACTTCGGAATCTAGAGATATTACTGATGATAATTTTTCAGACCGCATAGAATCCTAACACATGAAATCAGACGGATGGTTTATGGGCTCTATAGCGCACCCTAACATTATTTAGTTATCCTTTTATGCTGACCGGGCAAAAAAACCCAACCTTTGTAAAAGTAAACCGGCAGCTGTTCTTCTAGAGGCATGGCAATGTTATCTTCGTCATCAGGGAAAACAATGAGCTTGCAACTCCTCTACCAGAGAGCGGAAGGGTGGAGATCGAGGGCAGTCCTATTTTTCGCCAGAGTGATAATGAGACCTAGAATGAGAATAAATAAAAGAGAAAAGAGAAAGCAATGAAGGAATAAATAAATATCATTTATAGAGGTCGTCTCTCACGTAGAATATCCACTGGAGCTGGCAAGTCGATCATCCGTATTCATGAAATGGAGCTCTGCGAATCGAGCATAATCTCGAACCCGATGAAGATTTGATTAACTGAACTCGCACTGTATCTACACCACGGTTCTTCGTACTGTCTTCTGATCTATACAAGGATCCTCATCACAGATAGATGATACCATTATGACTCATGAGTGGTCCTTGAACCTTGCGTTCTGAAATTCCTTATCATCTTTTTTTTTTTTTTTATTCAGTGATAGTTTATGAGGAATAAACACCAAAATGACCAGGTTTTTTTATTGGAATATACCACATTGGAGTTTGACAACCTCCTCTGGTGATGATTTGATTAGTTTTTGGCAAAAGTTGATGAAGTCAGCAACTTAAGATGAGTTGGTAGAATTTATTTGTCTCAGAAATAACTGGTAACTCGTTCAAGGAAAGTTTCTCACATAATGAGCAAGTTGGAGAAAATTGAACTCCTTGACTTTTGTCAGACCATATCATATAGTTGAGAAACTGAGGATCGAGAATCAATATATTGGATTTAAGACTACACTTGGATCCAAAGGTAGGGGCTGAATTGAACTTAACCTATCTTTGATTTTGATCAATTCTTCTATATTTTTTTAAATTTTTCTTTTGATCATAAGGTCTCAAGTTTCCTAAATATGAATCTTGACAATGCCAAGATTTTTCTAATGGTTCACCCCCCTACCTACGCCCACATGTTAACAACATCTGTTCTTGGGTTTTACTCTCTCAAAATTTCAACAAAAAAAATTATTTTCTAAATTCACATTTCTATTTGGCTCAAATTTGATTATAGGGATCGGCTCCTCTGATGTATTAGATTAAAGTAAGTCACAACTTTGAATTTTGGGTTAATCATAGGGTAAATTTGATCCGACAGAAATTAAATAAAATATCATTATTGACTTTTTCCAGTATTTTATGAAGACTGAAGTCACATCCAAAAATTCGATGAAGAGGAAGCTGAATTATGCTTGATTTTATTTTCTTTCTTCACGTGAGGAAGCTCTCTGATTGTAGAAGAGTTGCCGAAATCAACTTAAGAAATATTGATTGTGGGGAGAGAGAGAGAGAGAGAGAGAGCGTAAGAAATGGATGAAGAGCATTAAAGCTTTAAGATTGGAACACACTCGTTCCTGATGATCTCTCTCTCTCTCTCTCTCTCTATCTATCTATCTATCTATCTATCTCGCTACGTCTCTATCTCTCGATCTCCCTCTCCTTCCCCCCTGGAGGATGTGTTACTCTGTCTACTTTATCTCAGATAAAACTCAGGAAGTGAATTACTTACAGAATACCGACTTATAAAGGCATCAGTGATGATAAATCTTTCAACTGAACGGAATCCCTACTCTGGTGAAATGGAGCTCCACAACTAAAACGGAAACTCTAGCCTATAGTGGTCTGATGAACTGAACTCACACTAAACCTAGATCTTGATTCTTGGTGTTGTCTTCTGATCTATGCAACCACACTCTTATAGATAGATGATACCATTATGCCTCACGGTCGGGTCCTTAATTATGGGAACCTTGGGTTCTGTGATTTCTCATCATCCATTTTTGGTTTGTTATTGTCATGAATTTTATGACGGATAAACACCAAAATAACATGTTGAAGCTTCACGATCGCCGGAGACCTTGCTGTCCCTGCCATGAACCTCTCTGTCACAGGAGAGAGACGTTGCCCTCTAGGGTTAATGAGAGAGAAAAATGGGATAAAAATGACATCGTTAATTTAACTAGTAATGTTTACAGATATACCAAACCCAGATCCAGATATACATTAACGGGTTTATTTATATTGAACCCAGATTAAATACGATAAACAAAAGACAATAAGAAAATAAAAATAAATCTAAAATCGGGTAATCTCCAACATTCCTCCTAAAGCTAGTGAATGGATGTCATGCAATCTGAACTTAGATATGAGACATTAGAAGGAAGGCCTGCTTAACCCTTTAGTAAGTATTTTTTTCAATTATCATGAGTGAAGACATATGAAGTGCAAATAATGTCACTCTCTAGTTTCTTTTGGATGAAGTGATGTTCTATCTCCAGGTGTTTTTGTTCAATCATGTTATACTAGATTATGAGCAATGTTGATGACTTATTCATTGTCATAATATAGTTTGATGAGTTTCTATCACTTGATTCTCAAATCTTCTAAATCCCTTTCACTCACAGTACTTTGCAAATGTCATGTAACATTGCTCAAAATTTAGATTCAGCACTCAATTGTGCTGACACTTGTTACTTCTGGCTATGCCATGTAAAGAGGTTGCCATCAAGAAGGTTGCACTAATCTACGGTAGATCACCAATCAATGATAAATCTTATGCAATCCATATCAATATCTATTCTTTCATTTTTCTTAAATAAATATCTCTATCACATGTTTCATTCAAATATTGTAAAATTATTTCAGCTGCAAAAAGATGAGCCTCTCAAGATCATGTGTAAATTGATTAAGAATATCAACTACATATGAAATATCAGGTCAATTATGAGAAAAGTAGATTAATTTTCCTATGTCTTTGATATATTTGCAAATTATGAGAAAAGTAGATTAATTTTCCTATGTCTTTGATATATTTGCATATCTACTAGCTTACTCTCTTTTGCATTATTGAATTTATGATTTGGATCAATAAGAGTTTTAAACTCATGAACTTACCCCCCAATTTTTTATGTCATTTAAATATCTAAGATGTATTTTTTTAATGATATAAATATATATATTTTGAATATTTTACGTCAATGCCTAAGAACTATCTCAACTTTTCTAACATCTTGGTATCAAAATCCTTTAATAAACACTTACTGAAAGACTCTTTTTCACTGTCAGCATTCTTTTTCATTGTTATATCATTGATCATCTTTTGGTTGTTGAATTTAAATACATCTAATTTATCATTTATAATTGAACTTAGAAAAGTGGAAATCAATTTTAGACTTCTAATGATTTGGGTCAATCCTTAGGGATGACTATCAATTCCAATATCAAATTCTATTCTCAAATGTTTATTGAATCAAAAGGGACGATAAACTACATAAGGTTATTTTCTCTGATTCCTAGCTAATGTTGCCACAGCATCCTTGATGAAGGCAACAAGAACAAGCATAGCAAAAAGGGGAAGGAAGAAGAGAATAAGAAATAAATAGGGTTTATAGGCAAGTTAACACTCAAAATTAGTATTAAAATCATGAATAACATTCCAACTATAAGAAAAACAAACCAAAAACGTATCTGAAAGCAAAGTTTCTCTTAGCTATCCCCTAATGACGAAAATAACATTACTGAAATCAATTTCTAGCATGAAGTCAGCTAGGAAGATAACTCAAAGGATGGACAATCTAATCCAGCTGCGTGTCTATCACACACGACTAAACTAGTGAAGAAAAATGAAAATAATACACAATCTAGACGAAAAGACTTAGTTCATAAGCTTCCCCTTTACACCATTCTCTTGTCTCCATCTGCCACCTAGAGGAAGAGCTCAACTGCTGGGAGATAAGGTTTCACATTGCGTTGCCACCGTGCTCTATCCGTCCTTGTGGACGGGATTGAGAATGCAGCAATTGGGGCTGAGAGTTGGAGGTGGAATCTCCTCATGCTGCTTTGCTCACCTCTGTTTATCACTCAGAGGAAAGGTTTGAATGTCACCACCACCACTCCCTTCGCCGTCAAGGTCTCCCCTTCCTGTGCCTTAGCCTCATCATTGTTGTCCCGTTCCATTCTCTATCCTCACCCTTAAACCTGTGATGATGGGCCTGAAATTGGGCCTGAATAATCAACTCATTACCATGCTACATCTTTCTCCATAAATTTAAATAAGTCCAGAAAAAACTCAATTTTTCGTGCTTCTAACTTTTCTGCACTTTCTTGTCAATAAAAAAATGTTTCTCAAGGATATATACCTTGGGGAGTCATGTTAGTATATAAGTTAAATCCTTAAATGGACATTTCTCAAATATAATATGCAGATTTAAATAAGAATTCCTGAAATGTGTTCTAAAATCCATTTAGTCTTTTCCATTAAATTTTAGTATATTATACCTTAGTTCGCATGGTATTTATTTATCATTCTTCTTTTATTTTGCATACGAAAATTAAGTATTAATAATCATTCGTATCTACTAAAAGGATTTTTGTTTCCCCTACAATGTGTTCGATAAATAAAGTGCAATAT